TTTAACATTTCTAACCAGTTGTACGAATTCCTGTTCTAAAGTGACCTCCCCATTTTTAATCCTTTTGTACCAAGCTCTCTTTTTACCTATAAGGTTCTTCAAATTCTTTGTTATCCACTTTGGGTCATTAGTATTCGATCTATTCAATTTGTATGGTATACTACGTTCCTGTGCTTTGTTTAGAATATTCTTAAATAAGTTATATATTGAATCCACATCGAAATCCCCATTTAAGTCACCTATCGCTGGGTTCATGTCTCGCTCCAAGACCGGCCCACACCCCATACCCAAGACTTTCCAATCAATTTGACCCAAAAAAATTCTTAGGCTATTAAAATCAGCTTTTCGAAAATCTGGCACTTTAACAGAATTTTCTCCTACTGGTCTATTCCATTCTATGCTAAATCTGATTTCTTTGTGATCACTGCTCCCTAGCTCACTCCCTATTTCGATGTCATTAATTTGCGTTTCCCTGTTAGTTAACACTAAATCTAAAATATTATTTTCCCGTGTTGGTTCCTTAATGTGTTGCGTAAGAAAGCAATCGTCAATTAATTCTAGAAAATCTTCTGCTTCACTATTCCCTGTTTTGTTCAACCAGTTTATTCCGCTAAAATTAAAGTCACCCATGACATAAATACTGTAAGATCTAGATGCTCTAGATATTTCATCCCATAGGTGCTTTGCTTCCATTCTGTCTAAATTTGGTGGCCTATATATTACTCCTATTATAATATTATTAGCTTTTTCGTTTAATTCTATCCAAATAGTTTCTGTGTGTGGCTCTGTTTTGATTCCCTCTTTGAGACTACATTTCAAATTGTCCCTAACATATATGGCTACTCCACCTCCTCGTCTAATATATCTATCTGTGTGAAATAGTTTAAATCCGTATATTTGATATTCAGCTAATAGTTCTCTATTTTCTACATTCATCCACGTTTCGGTAAGTGCAATAATATCTATTTTTTCTGTGCAGACAAGAGCATTTAATTCGTTAATTTTATTTCTTAGACTTCTACTGTTAGTGTAATATACCCTAAGTGAATTGTTATTTTGCGGACCTTCTCTTTCCCTGATCGTTTTGCCAATTCCTTTCTCCCACAAACACATACTTTTATTACCTCCTTCCTCCAAATCAATTCCCATACCTCTATCTACTAACAGTTTAAACCCAAACAAACACCTCTAACCACTTCTTCCAACGAGTTCGCAACAGCAACAACCCCAGCCCTCGATAGATGCACCCCATCCCGAGCATACATTTCATTTCTTCCATAGAAGTGTTCCCAGTTGTCTATGAAAGATATTGCATTTGATTTGCTAAATTTTTCCAGCCAGCAATTGACACCAAGTGCCCTCGATATCCATTCATTTCCAACTCCCTTTCTTGGAAGAATGACACATATGATCGGGATTCCTCCCTTGCTCCTAACTAATTCTATGGCTGTTTTATACCTCTGAATCAGTTCCTCACTCCTAACTCGAATAATCATTACAACTCAAAATGGCGGCGGTCCAAGAAGCCGATTATTCCGGAACAAGTCTACCGCATCGGACAAGTCATCTACCGTCGCCACATATATCAGGTTTAGACAAGCCCGCGGTAAACCAGCGTCGCGGTAAACCAGCGTCACAGAGAACCGAACATCGGTATTTTCAGCAACATTACCCTCGAGCAAATGTGACCTAACAATTTAAAATGACTAACATGTAGTGTATTCAGTACATTAAACCGAAACAGCTGAAACATTTAATCATATTCATGTTTAGTAAAGTTTATTCGTTAAGAAAAATATGTTTAAAAGTTCATTCTGGTTTCACATAATACTCTCTTCTCAGTCTCTCCGTTCCCCACCACTACTCTTCCAACATCAAATTAACTAATTTAACTGAAGGAAAGAAATAATGAGTCATGCATTCATGCACACTGATAATTACCATTATCTAGAGAACTTCATTTCAAGGAAGTGGGGACATTTACTAATGATACAAATACGCACAACAATTTTCCTTATGTTTGGTGTTGCATCTCAATCTTCCACATTAAGGCATATGTAAGTGTTACTGATCATATTTAGTGTCATTCATAATTGTTACAAGCCATTTAGTCTGCCAATAACATTCATATTACCAAAGCTAATCCCAGTAACTTACTAATACCCCACAAGAGAATACTAAAAAATTAAAATATATTTTGTATTATAAAAAGATCCCAGTTACTTTGAACGTTTCACAATGCTTTAATAAAAATAATAAAGGTTAACTTCAAGTGGTCTATTAGTCATCACTAAAGACCCAATTAAATCATCCACATTGTCATGGCGGGTGGGCCGGGGCTCCGCTAGCACTCGGCTGCTAGGGGCTCAGAAGGCAGAATACACAGCCCCTCCGACTCCCGGGATTCACCGGAGTCTCCTTGGTCCCACAGGAGAGGACCAGCAATGCCCACCACCGCAGGTCTTTGCTTCCACCACTGAAAGGGTGCCACTGATTCACCCTGGAAGCCCCTCAGTCAACCACGGGGAAACTGCTATCAGCAGTTCCGGCCTAGACCCGTGGAGGAGTGAAGGAAGACTCGGGCTTACCTTATAACAATAAATTCCAGAGTCTTGCCTGCCAGACAAAAAGGCTGCAGGAACTCCTTTCCCGCCTGCCTTCTCTATCTTCTTCTTCTTAACAAGGTCGCCAGCTGGGTTAGTATATCTGCACTCCAGCGATGCAGCTCAGTGGGTGTATTCTATACTGTTTGTTGCCAGAAAGTTGCTACTCCCATAGATCTGCTATTGGACTGTCGGCCCAGGGTACTCTCCCATAAAAGTCTGTGGCTTTACCTCTCTCCAGCCACTACGTTACCTGTTGCCACCAGTCAGGCTCCGATACTAGCCGGATGGCTAAGGGTACACTCTTATATAAGTCTGTGCTGCTTTACCACTCTAGGCGATAAGAACTTCTATAGAGAACGCGACGTTCCCTAGGTGGTACTACTACGATAACCCTCGTGTATGCTCAGAAATATTATAATGGAGGCACACTTAAACACAATGGTAAAATGTGTGAATTTACTGACAAATTACATGATCACACATACAATCACAAGCAATACATGAAAATGAAAATAAGGATAAATCTGGAGATCTTCAGCAACTCTTCTTTCACGACCTCCAACCACTCCTTCAACTGGGCAGATTAGACAGGAGTCACACACTCACAGAAGGACCTCTTCACCACGTCGGCACCTTCTTCAACTGTCCCGCCGTCCACACACACACTGTCTTCTCCAACAGTCCTGGACACAAGCTGCCCTGCAGCCTATTCTACTACTAAGGTATTAATGTCATACTGCCACATACACCAGTAAATATCGTGGCCTATCTAGCCTACTCACACAAGGGGTAATGGGAGAGAAAATTGATCTACCTTACATTCCTGGCTCATGACGCCTGTCCCTCGATGGTGTGAGGTTCCCACGCTTCCAGAGTCGATCCTTGACGATCCAGGAACGTTCCACATGTTCTCAGGTAACGTGAAACCTTCGCGTCGTCGCCATTCCAATCCCAGAGATTCAGCTATCCCAATCCTGGTTCACCAATGGGCACTGAGCTAATCACTATAGTCACACACTCGTCCTTTCCACAAGGCATTTATCCTCGTCCTAGGAACGATGTCGTCCCTCCAAAACCCTCAGTGGATGTGACCCAGTCACAGCTAGGCCTGCCCACTGCACCTTCCAGACCCTCCACGTCCAGCGGCGCCGCCCAGCATCGTCGCCGACTATTTTCCAAGTTTGGCACTCCTCTGCTCAATGAACTTGGTTCCTTTTTGCTTCTCGGAAGCGCAGGGTCTCCAATATCTTATGGTGGGGTGCGATGGCTAGTTTAATCCACTGAATAAGACTTTTAGAGCCTCAAATCCTCGAGAGCTGACCGAGGCGCGTCTTCTCACCTCCAGTCAGGTCAACTCTGATGTTGGCGCCGCCCAGGGCACTGACGTCACGGCGGGCTCTGATTGGTCGCCCGTGACCTAAGTCGGCCAATCCGCAATCGGCTAGCGTTTTCTACAAGATGGCGGATCTGCAGGTAGGGGGTACTCTTTCATTTATATCAGGGAGCCACCTTCCCCTTACCTACAACTTGTTCTGTAAATTTCTCCCTTATCTGGCGGCCGGTCTGGTCGCCACATATCAACAGACTCCCTGTACCTCAGAGAATCAGTAGGGAGAGCCGATATGACTCAAAGCAGGCAAATGAAAGAAATAAGAGAGGGCACCATAACAATATTAGTAATCTTAATATTACCCCAGTAACAGGTTCCAAAACATTTTCAAACAAGTATTTACCAAGGTCTCTCCCGATTCTAAACTAAGCCAATGCGTGTTGTGCAGTGTATTTTAAATTATATTCATACGGGTTTTATTAATATACTCCTTTCCCTCATTCACATTCTTCCATCACATCACTTTAATCTTTAACTAAAGATGTGGTTATTTAATCGCCAATACACTGTCAAAGTTCCAAAAAGTAACTGGTATTTATTATTACTCTACAACCCTCCTTTTGTTTTTTTCAAAAGGTATAAACTCCATCTACCAATCTTCCATAAATGTTTAGAACCTTAGGTAATATTTTGGCCTTTATTTTCATAATTCATGTTCTGCCCTATTTGTATAGTTTGAGTATTGATAAATCATTATTTGCTAATGTTATCTTGAGATTATCTCGAGATGATTTCGGGGCTTGTGTCACCGTGGCCCAGTCCTCGGCCAGGCCTCCACCCCCAGGAAGCAGCCCGTGACAGCTGACTAACTCCCAGGTATTTATTTATTGCTAGGTAAAACGGGCATCAGGGTGAAAAATTCTGCCCATAGTTTCTCTCCGGCGCCCAGGATCGAACCCGGGGGCCACAGGATCATGCGTACAGTGTTCTGTCCACTCAGCCACCGGCTCGTCTCTGCCATGTCGTCAAAAAAAAAATTTACATTGCGAAATAGAGGTCCCAGAACAGCCCTGGGACAACATGCCTCCCTCCCAACCACGCATTTTATCCCATATACACTATTTACTCCGGACTAGTTCAGAGAGTCGAATCTGTTGACTGGAGTTGCGAGCGGGAGGGTATTATTTGGCGTGTCGGCGAAATGGGGCCAACACTCAACTATCATAGCATCCCTCCCCCTTGTTGTGCTTGCCCAGTCTGTGGACCTCGAGTTTTCTGATCAAGCTGGATATCCTGAGGTGGGGCTCGTGCCTTGTGAAATGCTACGGGTCCCTGTGGTAGATGTTTATGGCATTGAACTGGTAACTGCCCGTAGGGTGGTTATCAAATTTACTACAGAGAAGGTATACCAGGCATTTTTGTGTCATTATGAGGGGTGGACCTTGCCCGTGCGGGAAGGTGCAGGCACTGACTGTCTCAGATCGGAATGGTGCCATGACGCATGTTACTGTGCATGGGGCGTTCTTGGAATTCCCAGAGGGGCTGCTGCGGCATTACAGCAGCCAGCTTGGAGCGGTTGCCAGTGTGCAGTTGCACCTGCTCTCCTCGGGAACGCTCAAGGGTGTGCATTCGCACCATGGGGATGAGGCTGCAGGCGGACATTCCGTCCTCAGTGAAGCTCTTGGGTTGTTATGATAGGGTTTATTATGCCTGCCAGCCTCATACGTGTGGACTCTTGGGCCACCAGGCTGCTGGGGTGCTCTGCGCCTGCCCGTCAACCTCTTCCGTGAGGAGGACTTCACGCCGCTCCCTGTGGAGGAGGCTTCGGTGGCTGTGGATGTGAACGACTCCTTGGCTGCTGAAGTGCCCCCTGTGCTGCCTCCTATTTATGTCGCCTCTCCTCCAGAAGTTGAGTCGCCGTCGGGTACTCGTCTTGCCCCGGTTGATGTCCTCGATGCTCCCGTGGTTCTTCCAGCTGCCCTCTGCACAGCTCCGTCTTCGTGTTCTTCAGCTGTTGTGCTTATCCCTCGCTGGGTGTCCAGGCTGTGCTGGGGTGGCTGTAGGGCCTCCCACCACTACCTGGTGCCCCATGTGGTTGAGGATGTTGCCATCCTGCAGAGAGCGTCTGTTTGCCTGTCTTGTGTTGCCCGGGTCTCTGGGTCGACATCCGACCCCGATTATGTGCGGCCGGTGCCTAAGCGTTCCTGGCGTTCTTTTACTGTCTGGGCTGATGTGGGAGAGTTCGACGACTAGATCTTCCGGCGACGGCGGAGTGGTTCCGGTTGCGTTGCATTTTTCAGTGGTGGCAGAGGTCCATGTACCTGCGGCTGCCAGGGTCGGTGTTTCGAACCTCCTCCTGGTGTGGTGCCTGTGGCGCTTGTTTCGGGTGCGTCACATGCGTCGGTTGGTTCTGCGTGGGGGGGGGGGTTCCCTGATGAGGGTCTCATGGTGACCGTGGTGATCTGGTAGTGGTATTGAAAAAGGCTGCTTGCTCTGGGGGTTCCGTACCCCAAGCCTTGTGCCAAGTTTCATCGTCTCCAGCCGTCTCTTCTGCATCTCGTGCTGTGTTACCGTTTTGGCAGCCTTCGCTTTCTGTGCATCCGGCAGCGGGTCCTTCTCGGCGGCCTACGTATGCTTTTTCGGTATCTTCTGCTTCCACGGAGGAGGCGATTTGCCATACTCCTCGTTATGCGACTTCTATCAACCAGCTCCGGGAGCTACCGTTTCCGCCCGATTTAGCGATTCCCGAATTTAAGCGGCCTCTCCCTGAAGCAGGGAAATCGTTACCCTACCGACATGAAATATTTGATATGGGAGCCCTGCAAGAACAAATCCTCTGTTAGAGTTCCCCGAGAAATATTCACCTCCCATTGAGGTTTGTTCTCCTTTCAAGTGATTTATTGTTTGCTGTGTGTTGTGGGGGTTGTGTCCGTGGATGTGGGGTGTGGTTGCGAGTATGTGTGGGTGGACCGAGTTTGAACAAATCCCCAAGGACTATGACGAGGATTCGAACCTGCGTCTGGGAGCATCCCAGACACTGGCTTAATCGACTGAGCTACGACAGGGTTAAAGCGAGTTGAAACCGAAGTTCTACTGAACTTGCTGGATCCCACACCCTCTCCGAGGCACTAACCAGGGTTTTGCACAACTCCCCCCACCCCCTGCACTCGAGCTATGCCAATAGGCCGTTCTCCCTCTTCGCACTTACATCAAGGGCTGTGACGAACCCTCTTCACGGCCCTTGTGGATTTTTTCATTTGATGCATCAATTTAGTGTGATCTCTGTGTAATGGACCGGGTTTGTTTTGCCGGTTCCTGCGTGCTCCATATTTCTGGTTCCTGTGAGTTCCGATGTGCGCTTGTTTGTGGCGTGGTTGCATGCCCTTTGGGCTGCTTTGTGGCCATGCCTGTTTTTATTCCAATTATTATGAATTCCCACTGTTAATGTCTTTTTGTTTATATGTGTTATATTTTTACGTTTCCTTTTTTCTTATTGTCATTATGTATTGGTGCGCCTCCGTGTGTGTTTCTGGGGCCGGTAGGCTTGTTGGGTTATTGAGTGCGGGTTTGGGTATCATGTATTGTCATATTTATATATTTTGTAGTCTTGCATTATGCTCATGCTTTCTACGGGGTGTTTATTGTCGGCCCTTCAGGTCGGTATTTTATGTCTTTGTACTCGCCTAATTGTGCTTGCGGGGTTGAGCTTTGTCTCTTTGGTACCGCCTCTCAATTGTCAATCAACTGGTGTACAGATTCCCGAGCCTACAGGGCTCTATCATATCTACATTTGAAACTGTATGGAGTCAGCCTACCACGTAACTTCCTAGTGCATTCCACTTATTAACTACTCTGACCCTGAAAAAATTCTAACGTGTGTCTGGCTCATCTGGGTACTAAGTTTCTACCCGTGTCCCCTTGTTCGTGTCCCACCCGTGTTGAAGTGCGTCTTTGTCCACCCTGTCACCCTTTGTAATTTTGTTCTTTTTTTATTTTTTTTAACTTGTGATTTGTGTTCTTATGTTCTCGGTTTATTGCATTTATACGCATGCTTGTGTGTCAAGCTAACGTTACCCTCATGTCTTCTACCGTTATTTATGTACTGTATTGCATTGTGTTTATTGTGTTTTTGTTGTCGGCCCTTCAGGCCGGTATTTATTGTCTAATTTTGTCCTTTTATGCTTGTGATTTGTGATCTGTTCTCGTTTTAGTGTATTTATGCTCATGCTTGCAGGTACAAATAACTAGAAAAGTTCTGAAAGTCAACTTAGGACAGCATCCCTAAAACCGTGAGTTAATTTCGAAAAGTTAAATCATTAATAGGAAGAGTAATCATGACACTTACATTCTCAAGCTGCTGTTGGGAGAGGTTGGTGCCCAAGAACTCATTCAGTGTTCCAAGTTCCTTCTTAATGTCAGCTTTCAAGTCTTCATAAAACACAAAGTGCATATTGGGGTCATGCTTTTGCTCCCAGGCCATCATCAAGTTGGGCCAGTAGGGACAGTACAACACTAGATACGAATTACATTTAACTACTTTTTACACATGAAACAAAATTTTTAGTCTTTAAATTTTGCAATTAAAATTTATATTTTGGAGGTAGCTACATTTGCTTAATGTGCTATTTCAAGCTAACGGCAGTTATTTCCAGTACTGAAGCAATTATCTTAACTAAATTATTATTAAATTAATGCGAAGTTAAAATTTGCAACAAGACACTAGGAGTTATTGCAGACCTCAACATTGTACACTATTACAAGACTACTAAGGAGAACTGCAACAACTTTTGAAGAAAACCAAAAAGTACTTACACTCGTGGCCAATACTAACTACCTACGTTCAATGGCTAGAGCAACCTTATCCCACTTGTCCAAACACAGAAGGTACCCACCTACAACACTGCACAACACCCAAACCTGAACACGGAGTATGCGGCCCCAGCGTGAAGCCCGTACTTTGTCCAGCACAAAACGAAGCTGGAAAAAGTTCAGAGGTATACCACTAGGCAAATCAAGAGGCAAAAGTTAAGAGGAAAGGCTGAGGAAACTCCCTCACGTCGATAGCAGACTGAAGAGCCCGGGGACACGACCACTACACAAAATTCTCGAGGGAATTGACAGGGTAGACAAGGATGTATTTAAAACTGGAGGTATACGTACAAGGAGACAGGTACAGTCGAGTACCGAAATGAGCCAGACATTGGGAATGAACTTTTTCGGTGTCAGCAGTTAGTAAATGGAATGCACTAGGAAGTGATGTGGTGGCCGACTCCATACACAGTTTCAAATGTAGGTATGAGGGAGCCTGAAGCTCTGGAACCTGTACACCAGTAGATTGACTGTTGAGAGGAAGGACCAAAAGAGCTTAAGCTCAATCCCCCCCCCCCCAACAAGGACAAGGACAACTAGGCGAGTACACGTGTACACACACGCGCGCGCGTAGCCGAGCGGACAGCCCGGAAAACTAATTCTGTGGCCCGGGTTCGATTGCCTGACCAGGCAGAAACAAATGGTTAAAGTCTTTCACCCTGATGCCGCTGTTACCTAGCAGTAAATAGGTACCTGGGAGTAAGACAGCTGTTACGGATCTGCTTCCTAGGTAGGTGTGGGTGGGTGGGTATGGGTGCGCGCACGCATAAAAAAAATATATAGTTACAGCTGATTGACTGTCGAGAGGCGGGCCGAAAGAGCAGTTCAACCACCGCAAGAACAACTAGATGAATACATGTACGTACACTCGAAAGCTGAATTCGCCAACTTATAACATTTACCCGCTGTCCTTCCAATAAGCAAGGAAATGCCGAATAGTCAGAACATTTGCGAGGATGATATTTAAACTGATTTAGACTTCAAATGGTGGCAGAATCTTGCCAAACACCCAACCCATCACCACATCTTTAGTTTGTCTGCCGAGTGCTTTCAGTAGAAAATACTAACACCACCACACTATATCCCTCTGCAACATTGTGTACCCAGAAAAGCAACACGAACACTAGAATTTCTACCATTACAAATTATAATGCCCAAACACTTGGTAGACGTTAACACTACATTTGTTTGTGCTAGTTAATCCAACATGCCAGGGCTACCAATGCCTATAACAACCAGTTAATATGCATCACACTGAAAACTAAAGCACTATCATGGGATATTCTTAAGACGCTAGACATCAACCATGATAATGCAAGAAACGACAAGACCGATGGTAACACTATTCACAAAGGATTATATTAAAAGGTTGATGGAAAGAAAAAGAAATCAGAACATTCTACAAAATGGTGCACGAATACGAGCGTAATACTGCAGCTCTGATAATGGAACAACACCCTGTTCCTCCGGGGTCCAGAAGTTTGTATTTGGCCAACGTGCAGCCTAGCAAGATCTGCATTTCTTCCCCATCCCCCCCCCCTCCCGGCCCCATTGCAATAGCATGGCATGATGAAAGCCTGTTTGTTATTGTCTCCTAACTCCCCTTGCCACTTCGGGGCGGGGGGGGGGGGGAGGAGGTATAGGGTGTTTATGTAGCTTCAGGGCACCAATCCCCCCAGCCACAGGACATGGCGAGAAGGCATACCTAAGCATACCTAGTTCCTCATCAAACTAAAACAATTGGCAGATCTCCTCACAACCCACAAGAGTTATGATAACAACACACAATGGAAAATTGTGCATTTTGTTCTTCTTATATGGGACACAGCACACAAAGGGAGAGGTGCACAGTATATCATTAAAAAGAACTAAAGCTGAAGGCAAAACAACAAGCTGCTTAAGCAGCAGGATTGGCGACTTTACATCGGCATACATGGAAAAAAACTATTCATAGTGGAAGCTAACAAGGCCCCGGAGCAGGAGGGATATCATGTATGCACATGGGGGTCCCTCCAGCCGCCGCCTTACCCACTCGGTGGATGACCTGGCCAGAGACCACCTCTTGTGAGAAACCATTTGGAGAAGTGGTACTCCAGATGACTGCTTAGATGGCTACCAGCTATCCTGGCTGCTGTTCACCTAAGACTATATTAACCCTTATGCACCCTGTGCACGGTGATCCTGGGACTAAGATGGTCTGCCCCCTAGATGTGGTCTGTGACCATATTCTGTAGATAGAATATGTCCAGGTCGGGGCTTTCACGGAGCAAATCTCAAGGTGGCTCCTGGCGAGTCCCATATCCTGAAGACCACGCGCACTCTCCTCCTCTCCAATTAAGGGTTATTGAAGAGGCGGAGGCTGTGTGCTTCCTGGTATATTTCCCGACCTTTTGAAGGTTTTCTGGGGTGCCGTACTTGTCAGTTGTTCTGATGTAGACGGGAGAGTGTTAAGTTATCAGCAGACCTCTGGGTGTCTAAAATAAAAACGTCATCACCTTTGCAAGCTATGATGTCAGGCTTACAGAAGGTCCCTCCATCCAGTTTACGGACTTCACGTTCCACCTCAATACCTCTTTGCCGCAGGCGGCCGGCTACGAACCGGGTGATATCGTCATGACGTTTCACCCGAACCCCATGTGTCTTGTGGCTTGCCTGGGATATGTGGTCCAGGGTCCATGGTTTCTGGCAAGCATCGCAGAAACCAGAAGCCTCGGGGTCTACCCCTAGCTGCTCTAGACGGTGTGGCTACAGCATTTGCCCTGATCTGGATGGCGTGAGCAAAATCACCACTTAGCGGACAGGTACCGGATGAGACTCCTCTAGTGGCAAGATGAAACCTCACAAGAGGACGCAAGTCAGGCACCATCAACCAGGCTGTACAGTTTTGCTTTCCACTTCCTAGAGCGCTCAGTCTTTCTGTTAGAAGGGGTTCCGGCGGCCGTGGTCGGGTCTACCCATTGACGTATTCAAGACACTGCGCCCAGTGGAAAGTTATAGCTATAGTAGCCACACTAGCATCCATCCCTCCATGTTTGGCGATGGAGGCAGGACAGTAACTTTAAGCGCTGAAGCAAGACAGCACATCGTCTACGGCCATGCTACTGTCTGGGCGTGCAATATAATATTGGTGTAATGACTGAAGCTGACGAATATGGAAGTCAACAATTTACCGCTACATACTACTACATTCAACTATAAAATCAATTACTTGCCGTTTTGTAATAGGCGAACCAAAACAGGGTTGCAGTAAAAGACAACGTAACTAACAACTATTGTCGCTAAATATAAGAAATCGTAATGCATGGAAAGTTATGAAGCCGTGGGGCCCCGTTAGGCAACTATCTGGATGTGGTCTAATCAGAGTTGCTGCAGAAAATTTAATGTTGCTCAGAAATTATACGAAATCAAAAGAAGACATTTAAGATCCAACTTTAAGTTTGTTGTATTGTATGGCAAGTCCCACCATGGGGCCCACCGTGGGAATGGGGTACAATGACCTGATGCAGAGCACACTTCCTGACTAAGGTAACAGGTCAGGTCGCCAATAACGAAGCGGATGTCATCAGATTCCATATGCGCCGATGCCTGCCTGCTTAATGCAGATTCCATATGCCTGCTTAACCACTAGTCCAAGTATATTAGTGAATAGAGTAGGAGCAGCAATTAAACTGCCATCCTACTACGATAAAGAAGATGTAAACCAAAAGTAAACAAGGAAATATATGGGTGGTACCAGGTAATAGACTACGAGGCCAGCTTTTAAAGCATCTGCAAATTTTCCAAACAGGCTACCAAGTGCCTCAAATAACCTACCAGACTAATAACCCAGTATAGAAGCCTCTTCAGCACACTAAAGTTACCATTCGGCAAGAGAACTGAAAGATTAACATTTGAAACCACCAAGTACAAGCACTAACAACCATAGCTATTTACAAAGTTACGCCCTGGATGAAAAATTACAAACTAGCACCTATAGTTAACAAAACTTGTTTATTTGGAAGCTACCCGTTAAGTCGTGGCTGTTAATGTCAAATGTCTGCCACTGGGTGTGGGGGGACTTAGCATACCAGCTGTCATGTGCTACACTTTAGAACAGATTAACCAATGTATTGGCAATGATATAACGAGTCGCATGAATAGTAGTTTTTTTACACTAAATATTAATGTTCGGATCGTGTTAGTTTTATCCAAGCACTTAATTTGTGCCTTTTTTTAGAGGCTTCTCAAACACCAAAACGGATTTACTTACAATCATTGTTTATAAAATGCTTGACGAAGTTGTCGCGGGTGCCAGTATAGTTGTGGAACCTTACGTTGCAGAAGTGATAGAATAGCGATACAACCACGTCCTTGGGATCTCTAGCAATGTACACCACCTGAAAAAAACATCAAAGTACAGAAAGCTGGAAATTTAGAGTTTAACATGGAAATCTATTTTTTCAAGAAATATTTCAAAGAGATCTCACACACACAGATCACAATAACGTTATGCATCAAATGAACAAATCCACAAGGGCCGTGACGAGGATTTTTCATTTCAAATAGATGTCCAAATAAGACTATTCCCTATACCCACGGTTTAATAGGAGTTATTAAAAGTAACTACTACTGAACACAAGCTCCCTTCCGAGCCCAAAAGTAAATTATCTTCACAGTTCTTATGTCCAATGTTGGGCGACTGGAAGTTTAGCCGAGCCATCTATGAAAGCCAGCGAAAGAACATTCATAACTAGACCTGAATGGAAATCTAAGGCGGTGACTAAGGAATATAACAAGAATACAAGATAAATGTGCAAAGTCTTTAGGGTTATAGAAGTAAAAGCTCTCATGGATCAAGTCACAGAGCAAGCTTTAAACAATGAAGCAATCCTACTTCTATGTTGTTTTAAGAAATATTGAAGTAACAAGTATTCCCACTCATATCTCCCATATCTAATATTATCAAACATGTATCCATTGATTTGTGTTCAATTTTGTGAAAAAATTATATACGCTATAGATCCATTCATATAACCATATATGAAATGCACGATTGTAAGTACCATCAGACCCAGCATCTTACCTTTGACAATGATAGCGTCTGGACCACGTTAACACAGTGCATACATGAGCAAGAAATGTACAGTGGGCATCACCATAGTTTATGCCGATAGCTTTGGGAGGAGGCCATTCCGATCTAGAACGGTAGCGGTAGACTACAAAATGACTTCACTGCACTGAAGAATTTCCATGCAGATTTTTCAAGTTTATAACATCTTTGATGTCTTTTATAGTGGGAAAAATTACCATGAGTGGCAGTCAGGAAGCAAGACATTCTGGAGGTCAGGGCATTCAGCAAGGATATGCACAACCGTAAGACGATGCAGTTCGGGCAATAAGGAGCAGGGGGGCGCTCCATTAAGTGCCCGAGAGAAACGTGTACAGCCAATACGTAACCTCGCCAGAGCCATTTTCCACCACCAGTTACAGTGGTGCAAATGAAGACAAAGATTATCCTTAAGAACATGCAGTGTGTTAGCAGTAATACGACCGACGACCCTGTCAACGGACACCGAGGAATGAATGACAAAATCGAGGAAATCCTGTGCGAGAAATAGGACAAGTGCAGATAGCCTCGGCAGCAGCATTCGCAGGCTCATTAAGAAACTAATGGCTGGTACCAAATGCAAAACTAGACCGTTTTAAATCGGCTGGACAAACGTACAATGTTGAATTTCGACTACCACAGGATGCACTGTTAAATGACAAGAGCCATGAGGGCACTGCGAGAGTCAACTACAATGACAAAGTAATGTCAATAGTGAGAAAACAGTTAAGGTTACGAAATGGCATAGTTCTGCCAGGAAGATGCTGGTCTACAGGGAAACGCCACACAGGTGTTGTCAGGAAATATAACAGTAGCTTGTACCGTCGGCAGACTTGGACCCATCTGAAGACTGCAACGAAGCAGTTGTGTGCAAAGAAAGTAAGTTTGACAATTGTAGGAGGGAATAGAAGCTTTTGCAAGGTGAATCAAGGTTTCGCAAAGCTTTGAAGTGGGGACCCCTCAATGGCACCTAGGATGGACCGACACTGAGGAATATTGGTAACTAATAATATCTTGCACGCTAGAGAAAACGGTTAAAGGAAGATAAAGAGGAACAGGGACCCACAGGAGAGGCAACGATCAAAGCACGACATAAGCTAGAGTGACCGTGTTGTAGGGACCGCGTAAGGTAGCAGACACAGTAGGGATCACGCCAATCCTGTAGAGACTGGATGCCGGTTAAAGCACACAGGGTCAAACGAAATGCACCTAAGCCGAGGTGTAACCCAATATGGTGAACATCAAGACGAAGAGTTTAAGGAGAATCCGACTAGTAAAAGACTGCCATAACCGAGTTTAAAAATCACGCGAGAGGAATGTGAATAGAGAAACAGCTCTCCAAGAAGTATTGGACAAGACTAAGTTAAGGGCATTAAAACATTCAACTGTGAAGCAAGAGACGGGAGGCCACCAAAACAGTCGTGTCAGATTAACCGCTAAAGTTTCTACTAAATGTTATACAAAAGGGGACTGCAATAACCTAACAAAAACTAAGGATGAGCAAGTTCCTAACTATTAAAAAGTCTTTGCCTTTACACATACTGTTGTAGAAAACTTGGGCCATAATTGATACCAGAACGACACTGCTTCAATTCCATGTTAAAGCCACCGTTGGGGAAAATTCGAGTCATTTCTATAGAAGAGGGTAAGATCATCAACATAGAAAGTGGAGAAATTCCCAGAGTAAACGCTGGAAAGACGACCATTGAAGGCAACCAGGAAAAATAAAAGTACTGTTAACACTTCTTTGGGGGTACCCTTTTTCATATTGTTGAAAACATGTAGCGAAAGTGGTACCAAGCCTCGCTCTAAAGGAACGACAGAGGAAGCCTTGCAGAAAGAGGGATATTACCACGAAAGGCTTAAATAACTAGGTCGAGACAAACTTTCTCTCGTCCCAAGTGAACCCGATTTCCGACAAGGAAGAACACCCGCCTCAAGCCACTCCCTGGGACTGACTATTCTATCTCCCCCTCCCCCCGCCCACAGATGCAGTTACAACTATTCGGTAAATACTGAAATGTGTGTAACGGTTCTATTGTTACGTAAAGTATGGTGACAAACACAGACACTAAGATACTATATATATATTTGGTCGAATATACAGAAGTACACAGGTGATACTTTGGTGTGAGTTGAGCGCACTGAGCGTCGGTACAGTATCTCGCAAGTGTCTGCTCTAGACCACACTTGAAAGTAGGCTAGTTAATGTTTCCTATTCTGCTGCTTGTATGCTCGGGCAACACCTCACCGTGTTGCCCGGGCAACGCCTCACCTCATTCATCTCCAAAGGTTGACAGGAATATTAACACTGCATTTGGAGTGAGTATATTATTGGGATAATCTACTCGCTACATGTGCATGGAGAGAGATGCCATAGCGTCTGTGGATGTTATTCGAGCCCGCTGCCAAAGAACAGCAGACTATCAGGGTAGACGAGTTCCAGGGAGAGAAAATCATAGGATAGCTGGAGATGTAGGGGAGGGGGAAAAAAAAGGCAAAGTGACAAGATTCAAGAAGGATTCCGAGAGAGGAAGCAGTGAACCAGAGCCAACAGCGGAAAAGTGTGAACCCAGTTCGGACGCGATCGACATCTGATCCCACCACAACAGAACCTTGGAGGTGAAAGACTGGAGAAATCTGCAACAAACTTAATCTCCATCTTACGCAGTTTTTGAGATCTGGGGGAGAGCAGTGTCGATCATAATGACTGAGGATTTCAAACTCCTGCTTAGCCGCACGGATGGCCCCATGGGCCACTGCACTTTCCCCAATTAAATACGAGAATCGGCGTTTACCGGCGCTGGTGTTTCTTCCAGGCTGCACGCTTACAGCATACACCCCGAGCAGCAATTTCTACCAAGGAACACTTTCGCTTGTCCCGAGACTACAATTAATGATGCAGACCAAAGGTAGCAAATTGTCACTTTGGGAGGGGTGAAAATTTAACAAGGATGGGAAAAATGTTATGGAGGTCAAGAACCCGCCATGTGAAATCCAAATAGAGAGAATATGAACAAAGAAAGATCACGACAGGAAAGGGTGAAAGTGTGCAAGTCAACATTAGTCGGTTCACCAGAATTCAAAAAGAGGTCCAACTCCAACTACTATTATTGTTTAAATATAAATAGAATATCGTCCCAATGTGTATACCGGCAGTTATAACTGCCCAAAAGGATCACAGGCTCTGGTAATGAGTCTAACAGGTGTTTAAGAACAGGAAAAGTATGCGGAACATTTGTGGGAGGAGAAATGGAACACGTGTACTATTTACTCACAAAAATACGAGCACCAGAGGACAAACAATATCTACAGTTGAGGGTTCTACATTAAGATGGATCAGGGCATTCCTATACCCAAGAAAACTAAACATAGGGTTACGTTAGAGTGGGAAAATTTAAGTGGAGTGCCTCAATGGTCTGTCCTGGGACCTCGGTTATTATATAAATGATTTAGATTCAGGTTAGAGCAGCAATATTTGCAAATTTGCCGATGATACAAGTATTGGGAGGGTAATTAACACTGAAGACTCGCTATCACATCAAGATATTACCACGAGTGGCAGTCAGGAAGCAAGACATCCTGGAGGTCAGGGCATTCAGCAAGGATATGCACAACCGTAAGACAATGTTTTGTCTTACCTAAATAAGACTTAAGACTGTCTTAAAACCTAAATAAGTTTTTCAAATGGTCAAAAGATTGGCAGATGCAGTTTAATGCCGACAAATTTAAGGTTTTGAGGCTAGGTAATGAGAGTTACAAAACACGAGCTAAATAGTGTCGAGATTATGGAGTTACGATTAGTAAGAATTTTAAGCCAAAAATTCAATGCATAAATGTTCGTAATAAGACAAATAGGAAACTGGGATTTATTAATCTAAGCGTTAGTATCAAGACACCTGGTGGTGTTCAACTACAACTTACTCTGGTTTGGCCCCATTTAGATTTTGCAGTTCAGTTTAGGTCTATGTACTATAGAATGGGTATAAATTCCACTTTAATGTGTCCAGCATAGGATGACTAATTCACAAATAATTTGAATCCCGTCTTGTGCAGAAAGATTAACAAAGCTTAAATTGCATTCAATGGAAAGGCGAAGAGTTAGGGGTGACAGGAGAGGTTTACAAGTGGATGAATGGACATAAAGGAGATTAATAGGGTATTAAAAGTATCAAAACAAAACAGAACACGAACCAATGGGTATAAACTGGACAAGTTCAGAAATCTGAATGACCTGGGTAAATACCGATTCGGTAACAGGGTTGTTTATTTGTTAAACAAATTACCGTG